AAGAAGAAACGTGCAAAGAACAGATAATCTGATATAATTGGATCGATTACACAAATTGTATGATTCCACCTCGTGCCCTGACATGTGGAGATTCTGCTGTTATTAGGCCACGGTGGATGATGCTGTATAAAAAATATCTCATAATGAGAAAAACATCTTATAACAATAAACCTTTCACTTAATAACATGATACTGATCTCTTTTTCTTTTTCTGGTGTGACTAGTGTTCTCTGTAGAAAGAGGGAAACTCCCATCATGATGGAATCGAAGATTACAACAGATTTGTCTATATCCAAAAACTGTAACACTCACATTGTCGAGGTCATAGTGTCAGCATGGCCTTGCTGGGCTTTGGCTGGGGTGAATCTCACTGAGGACAAAGACAGAGACGAGAGGTTAGGGTGCTAATACGTAAGGATTTGTAAAAATGCTCCGAGTTAATGAATTCTCATTTCAACACGACTGCAGACCTGTGTCCTGCTTAGAATAAATAAGAGGAACATGATGCAACTAAATAGAAATTTCGAAAATTCTTGGCGAAGGAAGAACCAGGCTGAATGCATTGGTACATTTTGGAGCAGTGGCATTGAAAAAGCAGCGAATGTTCTCAACCACATCCAATTTAAGAGGCAGATCTCTCAGTGATAAGAGCACCTCCCACTCCCCAGACACAACTCTCCACAGCTGCAGTTCATTCCTGAGGAAAACATGTTGTGCCCCGCAGCACAAGAAAGGAATATAATGACTTCTTTATTTTCTCCAGAGGTCATCATCGCATGACAGAATCATTTCACAACCACCCACAGGTTGCTAACAACATGCTTCTGTATTAGCCTGTTTTTTGTCTTTGCTTAAAATCCAACCTTCCGTTCAGGACATTTCTATGCCTCCGCATCAGGAGCAGACAGTGGCCGTTGTTTTTCCCAGGTTGTCCATCTGTCTGTCCCATTCTATCTCAACAACACTTTGAGGGACTTTATTCAAATTTGGTGACCTCAAAAAACGAATTTGTTGCCTTGTGAACGCGATATCTCTGGAACACTTCCAGGGGTTCTGTTCCAATTTGGTTCGAACGCTCACTAAGACAAACAGATAAAGTGATTTGAATTTGATGGTTGAAAGTTTGACCTGTTGTCAATCAGACTCAAAGATTATGAGTTATTATTAAAAGACTTATTAAATGTCAGTGATCAGAGTTAAAGGTCAAGATGGATTCAGATTATTGTGAACACAATGATGGAGGCATACAGGTGTAGCGCGGTGATTCTAGTTGACCATGAAAGTGGAATACCTTCTTCTCAATTATAAAATATTTCTTCTCTGATTTACACCTTGTGTTTTTTTACTTTTTGAATTTCACCACCTTTCATCATGAAGCTCTCCTCTGCTTGTTTTGCTGCCGAGAGAGAGGCAACAAATTAATACAGTGATAACACCCATTAATTCATTGATATGCAGGACCAGGACAAACACACGGGATGAAGTGAAAAACAGCAGCACGGACGAACAGCAGCATCAGGAACAGGCTGTTCAGTCCAGTGTGTGTGTTTAATAAGCTCATCATTTGCAAACCTATCCGTAAATGTGTAGTAAATCCTCTCAATGTGTATTAGGATCTATCAGTGTGTGCAGTGTGTTTGTATAAGTGTGTATTTTACACATATGATCCACAGGAGATGGTATCAGAGGTCAAATAAACCAAAACAACAGGTATTTCATTAACTAAGGACAAAATAACCCACTGGGCAGCATCTCATGTATTTTCCATGTTCAGCTGGCAGAGAACAGTACACATCTGTCATCACCCTCAGATGTGAAAGTGTGCTGACATGACACGAGTCTCCCCTGAGAGCAGCAATAAGCTGAGACATTCATGTAGCACTGTGATGTTAGAGAGAGAGAGATGACAGAGATTTCCGTTTCTGTATTAACAGGAAGGGAAACTTTAACTTTTGTTCATGAACTGAAAACCTTAACACCTCCAACGTCCAAACTTTGTTTTCCCTCCAAGTTGAATGTTAATATTTAAATGTTCTGTGGTTTGTTGTGTTTTTCACTGTGAACTATTAAAACAAATGAAACACAGAGACCTCATTTGATTCCTCTGGATTTTTTTTTCCTTTACTACTTTAAATACTTGGATCCTATTTATGACATAAAGTATTTGCACAAGTTTAGCTCCTGTTTAAATAAATGATCAAGTGAAACCACTGAAGGCAAAACATTTCAATATTAGCCTGAGGTTGTGATTAAAGGTTTAGCAGCACGTTCATTTGCATGTTAGACAGATACGCAGCCTCCAACCTGAACACGCTGAATGTGGATTAATATCACACTGTCAACATATATTGAAGGATAATGTTCTGAAAAAAGATCAATCAATGAATCTAATATGTGACAACTCAAGCATATTAACATCCAAAGATGCCAAACTGTCAACAACAGCAAAGCCCTGATTTGAAATGCCGCCCACAAATGTCTCATGAAACCAGAGATATTAATAACATCACCTTATAAACCATCTCACATATGGGAGCCCATTTCTGCCAGTGAAATAAAAAATGAATGATGAAAGCTAAGTTAAATTAAAATAATAAAAAATAGTCCAAATATTGTGAGAGAAAGATAAAATTATTAGATAGTGAATTTATGAGATTAAACTAACAAATTTCTTTGAGAAACTAAGTCATTACTTTTGAATTACCAAGACATTATTTTGCAATACAACATTATTTTGAGATAGTCAGTTATTATCTTAAGATTGTGGCTCATGATTTTGCAATACCAAGTCATTATTTTGAATACTAAATGATTATTGTGAGTTAATAAGTGATTACCTTTAGTTATTCAGTCATTATTTTGACAAACTAAGATACTGAGATAGCAACTGCAACTACTTTACTTCAAAGTTTAACCGCAGTCGACTTTGGTTTACCAGACACTTCACGTGTTGGTGAAACATGACCACAAAACTCATTTCAAAACAGGTCGTTCATGTATTCATCCACTGATGGTCTTTAGTGTTATGATCTGTATCAGCTCTGGAGATGCAATGATTGTTGGAGAATCAATCAGTCGACTGATGCAACAGTTTACATCATTGGTAATTCATTTTTATGGGAGAATTTGCTGCTGCTCTTTGGATTTTGTACATCATGTGGGCTTTAGGCAGTTGTGATGGTCACGTTACATGTTTGTTTAGAGACAATAATTCATTATTTCTCGAGCAAATAAGCAACTTCATCAGGACTCGTCCTCTCATATTGTAGGTGCAAGTGTGAATTCAGCTCAGCACCAGTTTCAACAGAAATGTCTTGAGTTGGCCGACTGGATGTTCTGAGTTTAACTGGGGTGTGAGACCAAACACTGAGATGTGACAAACAGAGTTGTGCAGAGTTGAATGAACTGAAAAAAGGGTTCAAGAGGAAGATGTCCAAACTCATAATATCTTATAGGTGGATTTCAGCCAAAATGGGTCCAAAAGGTCACATTGTTTTACTTTGGGACAGATGCAACAGAAGCCACACATATTACAACATGCGGTTGCAGGAGACGTTATCCCAGAGTTGAGGAGTAACTTGCAACATTTTTTTTTGTATAAAACTAGAATTCATCAACACATCTGACAACTGAGATACTGAAACTTTGATTCTCACTGTTTCCAAGCTGCAAACAGGGAAACTCACGGAAACTTTACAACTCATGACTCATTTAAGAATCTGTAGTGTTAGTTTGTCTGAATTCAGCTTCTTCTCTCTTTTGTCTTTTTTGGAAAACATTAGACTGGATCAAGACAAAACTATTTTCCACATGCATGGGAAGCTCTGCCCCCCCCCCCCCCCCCCCGTCTCCTCAGAGAGGACTCCACCTCGCCAACTATTCATCCAGGTCTGACTCACTCCCTGTCAGCCAAGAGCCTGCCACCACGCACACAGACGAGCTGGGGCTTGTTTGGCACCTCCACCCCCCACCCCCTCATCATCATCATCATCATCATCTTCATCATCTTCATCAACCACAATAGTAAGAGCTGCAGCAACAGCATATTTCTGACAACTCTTTGGATCATCAGCGTTAGTGCCACATGTGTTGATAAGTTGGTATTTATGGAGACTTTTCCATTTCTGGCAACTTTCCCAAAAGAGAAAATTACACATAGCTTCAGAAAAAAAAAAAACTTCTATAGATCCTTTTCAAAAGTGAAAATTCCCAAAAATGTGTGAGAAAGAATAAGAAACTAAAGCAGCAAACACTTGTCGGTTTAGTTATGTCATCAAAAAAGTTATTAAAGGTGCCTTTTCCTTTTTTTCACACAGTGAGAGGTGCAACGTGAACAAGAGAAAATTATACACAAGTCCATAAAAACAATCATAATCATAACCATCGTATATAGCACCTGTTTTCTAACTAAGAAGCAAACAACAGGAAGTACTTCAAATAATAAAAGTGCAGGTTTAGTTGTTTCATGAAAAAATAAAAGCCCAGCAGATCTTAATAGAAGTTAATGTAAAGTCGTCATCATTAGAAGAACAGATGTGAGAGATGACAGCTGAAGATGAGCGGACACATCTGGACAGCGGTGTTAAATGAGGTGAAAGGACGCGTCTCGGTCTGACAGATGTGTCTGAGTGGAGGACACGGTGGAGGACACGGACAGACCTCTGAGCTGATCCGAGAATAAAGAGACTGGTTTTCTTACATCGCTCCGGATCGTCTCTGCTGCTTCCACGTGCAGGTTCAGGTTGTTCTCCTTCTGCTCCAAGTCACAGAGTTTGAATATCCTCAGTGAACATCTGTCCCAGGGTCCATGAGTGAGACTGAGGATGTCCCACAGAGAAAGGCTTTCACTCACACACTCACTCACACACTCACACACACTGCTGCTGTTTCCCTGACGTATGAGCTCAGCCAGTCGAGCCTCCAGGCGTAAAGACGAGAGAGAGAGGGAGGGAGGGAGAGAGAGAGGGAAGGAGAGAGGGGGGGAGGGAGGGAGGGAGAGAGAGAGGGAGGGAGGGAGAGGGGGAGGGAGGGAGAGAGAGAGGGAGAGAGAGAGGGAGGGAGGGAGAGAGAGAGGGAATTAGAGAGAGGGGGAGGAGGCTCTGACAGACACAATGGGGGCCAGCCCACTTGTGTTGCGTTCAGGAACACCTCTGAAAATCCTATGATTTATATGACCTTTTTTTTTTTTTTTTTAGCATTTATCATCAGGAGCAAATACAAAAAACAATGTAGCGGTGGGAAGTAACTGAGTGTATTTACTCAGTTAGAATATTCGAGTACTAAACTTTGAGTATTTCCAACACGTGGTTCTTTATCTTTGTGTTGCACTGCATTCACTACAACGCTTTATTTATCATACTCTGTTTATTA